GGAATTCAGTATGAGGACTTGAGGACTGCTACCTATCTTTGTCCTCTCTCTGGGGCAGATGTGGGGGCAAGACCAGGCCAGCAGGGGCTGGTGGGCAGCAGCATGAGCTATGCCCACTAGAGGTCTGGAAGGTGTGCGGTGGGCAAGAGGATGGGCTCAGTCTTGACACGGCCAGCAAGTGGTCCAACGGGCTGCACCCATGCAATAGTGCAGAGACACAGCGGTCAGGGCCAGAGGCGTCTTGGTGTCACAGCAGCAGTGGCACTAAGAAAACACATTTGCCACCGTGGTTCCTATGGGCAGGGGGTTGCCACCCCAGGACGCAGGCAGGAACAGGTGCCTGGGCAGACCTGATGAGCCCACGTGACACGTGCAGTTATTCCTGGGGTCTCCAGATGTGACGCTTAGGGATGTTCTGACAGCCCCAGGGACAGGCACCAGCATGAAGCTAATACAAGAGTAGAACAGAGACCCTGGAATCACAGGGCTGATGGGGGATGCATGGGCCCATGCAAACACTGGGACCAAGGCATCGGTGCACTCTGCAGGCCCCTTTCACATGTCAGGTAAGAAGGACTGTTTGCTCCATGGACGGAAAAACAAAGAAAATCACCTATCACCCATTGGGAATTAAGATAACTCAGAAAACAAGACTTTTCATTATAGGAAGATTCTAGAGATGTGAAGCATTTAAGACTTGGGAACCCTGCTTGTCACCGTGGACAGGCTGGGTTGTGGACTCTATCATGGACCCACCTGGCCCTGCACCCCATAGGGTGCTGCCATGCTTATGACATGTGTGTTTCTGTATGTGTATTACACCTCAAAAAAAGGCAGACAAAACTCAACCCATTCTTGTTGCCAAACAACTCATAGGCTAAAGAAGAAATCCCAGTGGGAATTAAAAGAAATACTTAGAAGTAGAAAATACTGCAGATGCTACAAGGCAAAGCTTGCAGGATGCAGCTAAACCCATGTTTTGAGGGAAATTCATAGCCTTGGATATAAATGTTCATATTAGAAAGGAAGATAGGCTGAAGACAGATGAGCTGAGTGTCCAACTTATTTTAGGGAAGGAATACTTACCAAACTCAAAACAAGGAAAAGAGAATGGAAAGTAGAGCAGAATCAGTCGAAAAAGAAAATGAAACCACATCGGGAAAGATCATGTGGTATAAAGTGGGCTCTTTGAAAAAACTAACAAAGTAAAACCCCCCAGTGCGACTGACAAGTGCAAGGGAAGAGAATTTAAATTGTCCAATGTCCCACAGACAGTGCAGGGACTAAGAAGGGACACTGTCTACAACCAAACGCCGATGACTTAAAAAACAATTAAAAATGGGTACATTTCAGAAATATTCAGCTTACCAGAGAGCTGATTCAATGAGAAATACAAAATAGATGGACCCTGTAACTGTTAAAAATTGAGCAGCACTGAAAGAACTTCCTTCAAAGGGAACAGGTGGCCCCATAAGTAAGTGGGACCAGCCCTCCAGGAGCAGTGCGCCCTGTTGTTACATAAACCCTCCCAGGCAGGGGCAGGGGTGCTCGCACAGACTGAGAGGGCCCTGCCCCCAGTACCAGTCGGAAATGGCACGAAACCCCAGAGTAAGCACCAGCAGATCCAATGCAACAGTGCACCAAGAAGATAAGACAGCTGGCCTGGTTTCTCTAAGCAGGAAAGGATGAATTGACATTAGAAAATAAATGCGTAAGTATTAAAAATCTCAATGATCAGTTCAAAGGGTGCAGAAACATTTTCGTAAAACCTAAGGTACATTCGTGATAGGACATGGCACAGAGGGCAGGCACGTAGCAAACGCCACTCTGGCTTTTCCCCCCAGAAAGGGAGAAACAGCACTTTCTGAGCCCCGTGTCCCTGAGGCAGGATGCGGGCCCGCTACACTGTGCTACCTGGCACCTTGCTGTGGCTCCTGTGGGCACAGAGCAGGATGAGAAGGGAGACGTGATGCAAAACCTTTGCACAGGCTGGTGACCTGGTCAGTTAGATAGAAAAGCTAAAGAATCTGTAAGTTATGGGAAATAACGAATGAGTTTAGCAAGGTGGATGGACATAAGATTGAGATAAAAAGTGAATTGCGTTTCCAAAGACTAGCAACAAACAAGCAGAAAAATGCAATGACAAGATGACCATCAATTTAGAATAGAAGCAGAAAATATCCAGTTCCAGAGCATAAACTAATAAGGGATATTCAAGACTCCTACAGTGAAAAAATGTTACTGAGATCTAAATAAATGAAAAGGAAGAAGTGTTTATGGAGAAGAACTTATAATGACTGAATTCTCCCCAAAGTGACGGACAGATTCAATAGAGGTGTTTTTTTAATGTTTATTTATTTATTTTGAGAGAGAGAGAGAGTGGGGGGGGGTGGTAGAGAGAGAGGGAGAGAGAATCCCAAGCAGGCTCCGTGCTGTCATCACAGAGCCCAACGTGGGCCTTGATCCCATGAACAGCGAGATCGTGACCTGAGCCGAAACCAAGAGTTGGACACCCAACCGACTGAGCCCCCCAGACACCCCTTGATTCAGCAGAGGATTTTGTGGAACCTGATAGCTAATTCTCAGATTGACGTGCAAGAGTGAAGGCTGAGCAGAGTCAGAACACTTGAAAAAGGGCAGGAGCGGATGCCCAGCCGGGAGGGCTCGGTCTGGGGCAGGGGCCGGGAGCACGGAGCCGGGAAGCCCACCCTGTCCAGAGCTGGGTGCACAGCGGCTGTGGCCAGCATCGGGGTTGGCATGTCCAGGAGCGGGTATCCACAGGGAAATGCATAAAACTGGGCCCTTACCTCAGCTACAGAAAAAAGTCAATTATGTAGAAATTATGAGCATGTCTCTGTTAGACCTTGGGGGTGGCGAGGTTTCTTAAGGTACGACAAGTACTAACAACGAGAGAAAACATGAATAAATTTGACTATATTAAGGCTGAGAGGAGATTATACTAAGGCAGGAGACCTCCAAGGGGCCCCTCCTGGGGCGAACGGTTTTCAGGGTGACTGGGTCATGCTCTTTGCCGCCTCTGTGTCGTGCGGTCCGAGCGCACCCTGGACCCTCCGGGGTACACCCGCGGTGCCATCGCAACAGGCCGCATGCTGCCGTGGAAACCACGCTGGCTTCCACAGAGCAGGGCGCTACGGGGCTTGCAGATGTGTGAAACAGCCCCACTCTTCTCACTGTTTTCTTGGGAAAATGCTGCTATTGCTAATAGAAATACGTCCTGTGTGTCAACAGGCAGCAGTTTAATGCTATTTTTAAGTGAATTACTAGGTAACCGCTTCCCACGTCTCAGCCCTGGTCTACACCACGGACCGGTGGGCGTAACCCGCACAAACAGAAGCTCTCTGGCTGCTCTGAGATTTGCAGGGGCGTAAAGGGGTCCCGAGAGCCAAAGAGGCTGAGAGCCGCTCGCTGCCTTAAAGACGGTGTGAAGACAAGTTACAGACGAGACCTTTACGGTCCCGGCAAGACGGTGAGACTCTGAAGAAAAGCACGAGGAGACGGGCCTGCGGGCGGCCAGAGCGCACGTGTGGCCGCCGCGTCGCTGGGCTCACGCCCCGGAGGAGCTGCGGCCCAGACCCACGGAGAAGGCGCAGCGCGGGCGGAGAGGCTCGCTACTTCACAGGGGTGACAATGACAGCGCGCATGGTCCGATGAATCTTCGCGGAAGTGCGTAAAAGGAAGTTCCAGAGGATGGCACGCATCGCAGCTGATGCTCGTTTTAGAATGTTAAAAACAGCGCGAACGAAACGATACTGCTTTTAGGCACAGAACCACGAGGGGACAGGGAAGGAGTGCAGGAGCCTGGCCGGCGGACCGGGGGCGGGGGCGGAGGACATCACTACTTTCTGGGCTTTAGTGTCGTGTCCGGTTCGATTCTAAAGATGCAGTGAAGGGGCGCCCGTGTGGCTCAGTCAGTTCAGCATCTGACTCCAGCTCAGGTCATGACCTCGAAGTCCGTGCGTTCGAGCCCCGCGTCAGGCTCTGCGCTGACACCTCAGAGTCTAGAGCTGCTTCTGATTCTGTGTCTCCCTCTTTCTCTGCCCCTCCCCTGTTCCTTCTATCTATCTATCTATCTCTCAAAATAAAATAAAATAAAATAAAATAAAATAATAAAATAAAATAAACATTAAAGATGCAGTGAAAAGGCAGAAGCCTGGGCACAGACCAGGGACGGGAACGGCCACAAACAGAAGGGCACGTGGACCTGGTGCTGACCCTTCAGGGAAGCCAGGGACCTGACCCACCAGCGACTCGGGCCTGCGTCCTGCTGCCAGCAGAGCTGGGACAAGGGCCTCTCTCTCAGCAAGGGGCTGGGTTCCAGCTTATTTTAAAGGAAAATTGAGCATAGGAGGAGCCAATCCTAAAACTCTCATTTGGGGGTGAAAACGTAACCTAATGTCACTGAGCTAATGTGTTTTCATCTACAGTTTTGAGTTTGTAACTAAACACTTACTTGTTAACAAGTGATTTCGTTTTCTCCACTGTCTTAGGGGCCGGGGCTCTGCGGAAAGCTGGGCTCTCCAGCCCTTCCTTCGTGCCCGACCCGGACCTCCCGCACCTGCACACAGCAGGGCCCTGGGGTCCATTCTAAGGATCGGGGCGGGGGGGCCCGGGGGGCCTTGGTGATGCTGGCCCATAGCAGCCTGCTGTGGCTGCTGCTCCCGCTGGGGACTGATGCTTCAGAGGCCACGTGTTTCCTCTGGGTGCCACGACCCACCCTCCGCTAATTCTCCCCGAGAGACTGTGACTCCCCGCCAGCCGCCACTGCCAGTTCCAGACGCTTTTAGCAAGTTAAATCTAGTAAATTCACACTCGGGAGACATACTCTACAGCTGTCATGACAAGCGCACATCCAGACAGCAAGCCATCACCAGAGCCGAGCTGCCCCATCGGGACCCTGAGTCTGACAAAGGTGGGTGTCCCAAGACAGCCCCCCCGACCCTGCACAGAGGTGCCCCAGCCCCAGCAGCCTGGCCACCCACCTCAAAGGTGTTCCCGGTCACATCGAACTCCGGGGGAACAAAGGCACCCTCGGGGTCATCTGGGGACGGAAGAGAGAAGGCTCTGGTCACACGCCCACAACGCCCAGGGTGAAGAGAGACCCGCCAGCCCGGAGGGAGGCGCGTCACCTCCTGCTTCCCGGGGGCCGATGGCTCTCTCCCGACCCCCTTCTGTCCCCGCGTCCCTGAGGAAACAGCGGTTGAGAGGGAAAACCTCACTCTTCACTGTTAAGTGTGGGGAAACGGTCCCAAGAGCACAGTGGCGGGGAGGGGAGGCCACGGGAACACTGGAGGCGGATGTCAGGCGGCCTCCTGTGCCCGCTACGATGCCCTCTGCACGTGCACTCCCTGTGGGCCAGCAGGACCGGATGCCTCGGAGCTGGCAGCCCCCGGCTCGTCCCTGCGGGGACCACGTGAACCGTGCACGAGGGCCCTCCCGCCTCCTTCTCCCTCAGCGGTCCTCGGGGCTGGAGATCCCACCAGGGGACCAGGGAGGCCTGGGCTCTGTTGCTCTGGGCCAGCCCAGGGCGCCCGTGTCCACACTGTGCCCCAAAGCTACCTTCCGCGGCCCACCCCTGCCGCCCCGCCCCGGGCTCACCGCTGAGCAGCTCCATGAAGCACACGTTCCCGCTGGCGTTGAAAGCCAGGGTGTCAGGCGTGATGCAGAGGGTCTGGAAGATGGCCGCGTGGGCAACGCTCCTCATGGACAGGCTGCACTCCAGGCACACGGCCCACGCTTCCTGCTCGCTGAGGCCGCTGTCCCGCAGCGACAGGATGTCGGCCAGGGACACGTTCTCCTGCCAAGACAGGCTGCGGCTGAGACGGGTCTGGGGACGGGCCCAGGCCGCCGTAGGGCCCCCTCCCCAGGGAAGGCCCGGCACCCCCACGTCGAGACCGATTCCAGGGAAGCAGACAGCACGCGGCGACGGTTCACTTTACGTCAGAAACAGGGTTGTAGGCAAAGGCTTTTTAAGGAAAAACAACAAACCCAGAATGTCACCCAGCCCACTGTCCCCTGTGGCCAGAAGCCACAGAGTATTTGGCAAAATGACCAGCATATCATTGGGAACAGGTGTTACTCCTGCGGCCGGGACCTAGTTCTTTGTCCCAGAATTTCTGGCCGCCCCACAGCCCCTTGGCGGAGGCACCCGGCCCACAGGCTCACCACCCGTGGCTCGGTGGGCACGCCGAGGGCTTTCAGGTCGTAAGCAAGACGTGGGCACCGGTGGAGACGAGCCGACGTGTACAAATGCACGGTGTGCGGGAAGCCCGTAGCAGAGCAGGTGCTCCAGGCGGTGCACGGAGGACCCAGGTCAAGGGGCTTTCTCTTGCAGGCCAGACCCCAGGCCTCCCTGTGCTGGGCTCAGCGTTCACATCCGACTAGACTCCGCTGCGACGTCACCAGCACGCACACACGCACTCCGAATGTATGCACGTCGGACACCTGCACGCTGTCAGACACGCACACACCTCCCTTGTGCACGCACGCACGTGGGTTTACACCAACATGTGCGCTCACATGCACACATGCAAATCACACATGTACCAACACGCTCATAAAATGATTTGATGTGTCCTCAGTGGTCAGGCATATGCCACACAGTCTCACACACGCTCAGATTAGACTTTCACTTCAATGCACACTTGTGCAACCCCGAGTCACACACACCCACATACATTCACACATACGCTATACACACCCTCACACGTGCACAACATACCTGTATGCACACACTCAGACCCATACGTGCACCCTGAGTGTGCACACACGCACTGCCACACGTCAGACACCTTGGATCTCGAGGCCCTAATCTGGCCTGCTGTTCAATGCCTCAGTCACCTCTGTGCGTCTGTGGGACTGTGTTCCACCGGCCCTCGGGAGGGAGGAGCTCAGGGAGCCAGGCTGGGAGCTGGAGCCTGCAGGAAGCATGTGCGTGGGGTCAGGAGAGGAGGTGGAGGGTGGGGGAGATGGTGTAGAAGAGAGACGGAGCCCCCTCCTTCTCCAGCCTCAGCTGCCCACCCCTCCCAGCATACCGGAGTGTTCTCCCCATGTGGCCAAGCCCTCCAGGCCTGGAAAGTCTCCTAGCTCCTGCCCTTGAATTTCCCCCATTTGTATTGCAAGGAATCCCCACAACCACAGACAAAGGGGACAAAGAGCTTAAGCCAAGAAAGAGAAAGAGAAAGAAGGAAAGAAAGAAAGAAAGAAAGAAAGAAAGAAAGAAAGAAAGAAGAAAGGAAAGAAGGAAGGAAAGAAAGAAACAAAAAAGAAAGAGAAAGGGGGAAAGAGAAAGAAAGAAACAAAGAAAGAAAAAGAAGGAAAGAAAGAGAAAGAAAGAAAGAAAGAAAGAAAGAAAGAAAGAAAGAAAGAAAGAAA